CACGATAGAGAGGCTGAGGCCAATCATGACAGACACGGTCCTCATTCTTGGCTTGAAAAGGAAACCGGATTCTATGAGGTGGGACACTTGCTCCTTATATGGATTTAGAATCCCGAGGCAGTCACTCTTGGGAGGGTGCAGCAGGGAGAAGTGGTAGAAATAGAAGGAAAGAACAGTAAGCACCTGGCACAATGGAAAGGACAGATTAAAGTGGCGTGGGCTGTGTGTGAGAGCGACAACGTGGGCACGCGCATGCATGCACACATGTGTACTTATCTGGGGCTACCATGGTAAATGTGTTGCCTCCTGAGTAGGCAGTGAAAGAAGGTTCTGATTCCTGACAACAGCTTCTGAAGCCTTAGAGAAACACCTGTTCATTTCCCACAGCCGGCTCTGCCCATCCCATGAATTATCACTTGATCACCACCCTTACGCACGGACATCTAGGGATATGTGAGAGGTCTTTAGTGGGAAATCTCCTTGGTGTCGCCTGCTGTACCTGAGATGCCAGAATAAGAAATCAGACTACTATTTAGAGGGGATCTTGAAATGCATGAATTTTATGTAATGTAGTGTTCTGAAAAATGTAGCTAGAAGCCCTTGGGCACACTTCTAATTTAACCACCACAACAGAAAACTTCTGATAGCCTTTCTTAATAAGCTCCAAACTAGTGAAAAAAATTTGTTTTTTTCTCCAATAGGTTCATGTAAATCAATCTTTCTTGCCTCCTCCACCCTCATTTGGTGGTTTCATTTCTTTTCTGTGAAAATTTTCAATTTGTACTTGTCCTGGCGAACAAATACTAGACACATATTCTAATGGTCCCTGGCTGTGTCTATAAAGCCACAGGGATAGGAGGCTGAGGAGTTTCTAGTGAATTCATGTCAGGTCAGACACAAGACCTGGTATAGCCCCATGCTAGTAAAGCCCCCTTTTATGTCCTGGGCCCTCTGTGGGACAACTGTGTCACCAGGGATTCTGTGGCAGGAAATGATCGATTTTGTGGCCAGCCTCGAAGACCAAAAATATAATCTCAAATATCCCGTGTTCTTTTAATAACTCATTAGAAATCTGTCACCCATGACTTTGTTTAAATCTTTTTGAAGCTATGTTTACTTTTAGTGAATAGGAGCTTCTTGTGTAAGTTCAGTGGTTTTACAACTGGTGGCCCGATCCCCTCACCTGGGTATACCACAGTGCCTGGCTTCACCTCCCAGAACCTTTCACAAAATTCTCAACATGCCTTACTTCTCCTTGGGCATTTCTGACAAAATCAGAGTCACACACACACACACACACACACACACACACACACAAAGGCTGCAACCCCCTTGACTCACATGGCTTACATGTATGGTTCCTGATTCTGTCATTCTTTGCTGTTTGGTCTTAAAAGCTTTTATCTGCAGAATAATTTTAGGACTATGTTATACTTACAGATTCCAGATAAATACAAATTTAGCTAGTCTCAAGAGGTTTTGTGTGGGTTTGTTTTCTTTTTAGGGTTGTTTTAATTTATTTTGAATGATAATGAGGGACTATCCCATCAAATACACAGATGCTTTGGAACTTCTTCTTCCTGCTAACAATTTTAGGGTCACATACATGGAAGTTTAGTGTCCAAAGCCTTAGAAAGCAAGAGGTCCCCCAAAGCTAGTCTCTACCCACTTAATCAGCTTCTTCTCCTGTCTCTGTAAATGGCACTTTTAAGCTACACTAGGCTATTTACTTGCTTGTCCTGGAGAAGCTATGCTTCTTATGTCTCCAGGCCTTGGCATATGCTGTTCCGTTTGCTTAGAATTACCTTTGTCACCCATTAAATAGAATAGTTCAAAATCTAACTTCTCCACGATGTCCCATTCTAGGTTCTTAGATGTCATATAAGTCACCCATTAAACTGTAATCACATAGACCTCTGCTCATACCTTTCTTTTAATAGGTTTTAGAATTCATTTTAATTTTTTTGTTATGTGCCCATTATCTACCTAGACTATTAGTTCTTACAGAGCAGAGACCACATCTTCTTATAATTAGCAATCTAGCTTATCCTAGTACAACAGGTAATGGAGTGAATATTTGTTGAAAACATGAATGAGTGAGAGCATAAATGATGGTGTGCAGTGGTGAGAGGATTTGTATGAACAAACCAGCTCACTCATACATATACTCATGCAAACACCATACATGCACATATCATGTACACATGTACACCACGCACATGTGTACTAAGGCACATGCGTGCACACATGCGAGTCTAGGTAAACTGGAGCACCAGGCAGAGGCTGGGTAAAGTTGCAGGTGTAAATTTTTGTATTGATGTCCTTAATCAATTTTCTTCCTTGTCTGAAAGTCATGAATGCTTATTGCTACTTTTCTCCTCATACTTAACCTAGATTTTTCACAGGGGAATTCATTTTAAATATCACCAGCCTGGGATTTGCTTGTTCTACTTCAAAAGAATGTTCAGCTATTTTAATGTATGCAATACAAGATACTAGGTGAAAAATATAAATACCCACACATGCTGCTTACCTTCACCTTCTGGAACATTAAATATTCAGGGAAATCAGGCCCACCATCGATTTTTCCATAATACCCCAATACGTATCATTAGTTGGCAATCTGTCAGGCCAGTTTCAATTCAAGTGACAGACTTCACGTTCAAATCAATTTCGATTAATTTTGTAAGAATCATTTAGGAAAACGTGGCATCGGGACCCTGATTTAAATCAAGATGTATGGTATCCTCCACTTTTCATTTATCTTGTCATTTTACGAGGAAAATGCAGTCTTTTGTCTGGCATTTTTTTTTATATACATATAAACCCATGCTGCTTATCACTCCTGGTTCCATTATCCCCAAGATAGTCACTTTTTTTCCCTCCTAACAGTTGCTCCATTATTTTATTAGTGTCCAAAACGAGACCTCGCAGACAGTGATGATCAGAGAATAATGGAAATTAGAGATGGAAATGACAGATTAGGTCTCCTTGTCTGTTTCCTGGGGCTAATGTCCCTGTCAGTCTGCAACTTGGTGCTTTAGCCTGTCTTATTTTAAATGACACCAACGTGGGGCCTCCACCAGGTCCCTGGAGGCTCTTGTCTACATCCTAAGACTGCCTCTACAACGCAGCCAGAGGGGATGACGAACCCTTGTGCAATTACCAAGTGAAGCCAGGCCCGTCCTCCTATGATCTGTCTGCAAGGCGAGGGATGTGGAGGCTTGAGCGATTAGCCACCAAATCCAATCACTGCAGAGGGCCAGCCTGGATCATCCAGGGCAAAAAGCAAAATGATATTTTGTCGTTTTTTTCTTCTGCAGCAAGTTTGCAGGCTAAGAGATAGAGAGCTGGTTATCCATCACTCTTTAAAACATTTTACTCAGTAAGAATCATAGCCAACTGAGATGCTCAGCCATCGTGTAAGCTCAAATCCTAGCTTCCCACCCATGATGCAAACGTTTCAGGGGTCAGAGAGTGGGGGGACTAAGGTGACTTTACACAGTGAATGGCACTCTGTAGTCATACCCCGCTTAACATCTATGAACCAAGTCCTCGGCCCTCCCCGCCCATCGTTCAACAACACACCACCTCATGTGTATTTACTCTTCTACAAACACTTTCCTCCAAATCTGGGGGACTGCCCCTCGGATACGACCTCAAGTTCACTGGAAACCATGTAATTCTTCATTTTCACCAACAGGAAAATTTCATGGCATTTTGACTTCCTCAAGTTTTCTGACCTAGGGCTCAGATTTTCTTCCCCTAACTTCATTCTCTCTTGTCCTTATTCCTCAACCTCAACCCGTTCCAGAACATTTGCCCTCTTCTAACGTCGAGGGGCATCTATCATGCTTTGACTTAGTCATCAGCTGGCCAGTTCTCCAAGTTGAGTTCTTCTATCCTTCATCATAAATCACTCCCTTGGGCTCTTCAATCATTTTTATTGCTCTTCTCCAAACTCTCACCCATTTGTCTCCATATTTATTGCTTTCAGAGTCCAGAACTACATCCACTATTCTAGGCTTGGGCTCATCAGAATCCCCCAGAGGGGGCTGATCATCAGCCTCGGGGATGGGAGTCCTCCATAGCAATGTGTGAAATGATGGTGGTGCCTTTTTTCTACCTTGTCAGGCTGCAAACACATTTCCAACCTGCACAAAAGCAATCACTCTCAGAAGGCTTGTGCCCTGATTTCTTTCTAGTTTTCCCCCGTTCCATCAACTGCTATTATTAGTTAGTGTTTATTGATCTCTTTCTCTTCCCACCCTGCCCCACGATTGAGCCAATGCAGAAAGCAAACTATCAGCACCCAAAACAGAGTAGAAAGTTGCTTCTAAAAAGCAATACCTGTGCACAGTGCCGATGGTTACACACCAACGTGAATGTTCTTCATGCCACTGAATTGTACACTTTGAAATTATTAAAATGGTAAATTTTATGTGATGTGGACTTTACGACAATGATTTTTTTAATGTAAAAAAATAAAATAAAAAGCCAAGACAAGGTAACTTTGATCCCAGTCATGTGTGCTTGAGGGGAAGCAAAAGTCCCAAAGAGAAAGGGTGACTGTGGTGGGGAAAACAAGTTTCTCCTGTCAGTCTCACAAAACTCCTCGGGCTCTGGGAGAGCTACACGGGAGTCTGTGTGGCTTCATGTGTCTCCAACAAAATCATCAGCTAAGTTCTGCCTGTGGAATCCTGGCGGCTGGCGGTGGAGTGAAAAAGCAGAGAGGGACAGCTTGATTTTCAGATCCCAGCTGGAGGCTGGAGGGCTGCGAGTCAGAGGCATCATCTCTGAACTCGTAAATGGAGAAAAAGATGACATGAACGTCACTGGAATGGTATAAATATGGAAATGCACGGTGACATTTTTACCCATTCGCTATTCAGAATATAACCACCCTTTAGCTCCGTTCCTCTACATGCAGTTGCTCCATCTTGTCTGCAGGAAGAAGGGTGACATCTGGGAACTGGCTCATTTGCCATCCCGGCACTTACCCCTGGTTTGTGCCCCATTCGTTCCGAATGCAAAGGTGCTTGTGCACTGGATCCTTCATGTACCCTTCATAGCAGAGGCATTCCCCTTAGAAGCAGGGTAGGAAGAAGAAACATGAAGCAATTGATTAACATGTCTGTTTGAGAAAATGAATATGAGATGATCAGATTAAATTCTGATTCTAATAGCAGTGGGGATGAAACAATAAACCCCATTATGTCACACATCCCCATCTCTACCGCCCACGTGCACGAACACACCCTCACTCTCTGCATTTTCCACTAAGTGCTAAATTTCACTAGTGGAGGAACCTCATGTTTACAAAGAATCCACTGTATGTGCTCTGTAAAAACAAAGGCTGAGAACCTTTTGAGCAAAAGGACTTTTTCAACCTTATTTGTTCAGTGCCTAGTCTACTGCAAGGCAGATATTAGGTGATTGGGAAGTGTGTAAAGAGCACATAAGTGACTTATTTCATCATATATTTCTAAGTAGCTTGAAAAGTAGGTATTATTGGCTCTGCTATACTGATAGGGGGAAACCGAGTCTCAGAAAAATTAAGGGATTTGGAGACAGCTTATAAGCAGCAGAGTTAATATTTGAATCTGTGACTACCTGACTCTGGACCTTTATTCCCACCATCCCATGCTGTTAGCTCACAGAACAACTATATATAGTCAGAGGAGGCCACTTACACTTACAGTTTTACAGGAGCTCTGGGTTTTTGGTTTTAAATGAAAACGGCTGATGATTTTGGAGCTGTTAAGCAGATGAACCATCCACTATTCTCTATTTGTTTAGGATATTACTATGCTTCATTACCATTAGTTACTCCACTAATATACCAAGGGGTTCTCAACCCTTCTGGAATTGCACGCAAAACCATGCATGTGCATACGTCTTCCCACGGCAGGATTCCAGAACATTCATCTGATTTACAAGCAACCTTAAGACCTCCAAAGATTAAGAATCATTGCCTGACTTACTACTGATCTTTAAAAAAATTGCTCTTGTTCCCTTATATGAATAATTCCTTAAATAATGTTATGAATCCCTAAACTGAGGATACCAGTCCCCCTAAAGCACTAGTGTTCACTTGTTCACTGACTGGTTAATTTGTAGGTAGTCAAAGAACAGGCTGTGACTTCCTATAATCTGTACATAACAAAAGTGTCATGCCCGAAAGAGACAAGGGGCATACAGTTTTTTCATCTTTCTAGGAAGAGACACTTAAAAAAGGATATATATAGAACCATAGCATTGAGAGGTATTTTCTATTTTCAAAGACAAAAGCCAATAAAAATGAAGCAAAGGGGCCCCACAGTTATGAGGGGAGGGACTGGGGAGGTTCTAAAGCAAGTTTTTTGTTAAGATCTAAGCTTAACCATTCCTTTCAAGATGGACCTTTACACTATTCCCCATCAGAGCCCCACTACCAAAGAATGCTCATTTTCTTCCCTCACTCCTGTTTAACATGAGGTGCTGAGGAGTGGAGTGAAAATGAGCGACTTCTTAGTTTGTAGGGGGCTCAACACAGAGTATGAGGTCAGTACTTTGGCTCCTATATATGACGCTCAGGCTTCCACATGAGCAAGATTCACAGAAGTCTCAAATTTACTGGCTTCAGTGCTGAGCTGTAACTAGGAATAGTCAGGGAGCTAGGGGTGGAACACAGGAAAACAAAGTTTGAAATTAAGTAGATGATAAGAAAACTTTCAGATAAAGGATGTTTCTCTGGGAGAAGGAAAGATAAAGAAGGCAAGTACCAGATGATCATAAAGAAGAAAATCACTAAGGAACTGGGCTTCATAGTTTACCAATTTCAAGGAATGTAGGGGCTCTAGACTATAAGCTACATAAGGGCAGGAACATAATAGTTTTTCTGCACGAGTAGGGATCTTATACATAGTGTGTAATGGAAAATTAATTAATTTGCTTAAGATTTTGGCCTAAATTTATAGATAACACCATTACCACCACTCTCAAGATACAGAGATTGAAGGTAATTAATGTGTGCAAGGCACAGACATGCTTCTCCCTTCAGAAGATCATCTCCTGACTGTCCTTGTAGATGTCAGGCATGGGTATGACATTAAAAAACAGGAAGTAACCTCAAGAGGTTGTCAAACGCATCACGCCGACTCTTACGAGGATCTTGGCTGGAGGCCTTGCCCTAGAATGAAGGATTGACCAGAAAAGGGAGTCCTTCCACGTTTGGTATCTAATTACCACAAAACATGTAAAAATAAATGCACTGACAGCTCAGAGTTCAAGCATAGCCTGATTTTCCTAATGATGGCAATACGTACCATTTGTAGAGCACATTTACCTTTCCCAAATTGCCTTCAGAGTCATTATCTCCTTATGAGGTTTCATCACTCATAGCTATGTGGGGACACTGCCGACAACAGAGAAAGCTTTCCTCTGAATAATGTCACATGCAGCCCAAAGTCAGAGCAACAGAGACATTTTCAAATGTATCAGGCTAGAGTTTGAGGATATCCAAAATATGCCTCTCAAATGATCCTCATTTCCGGAACCCACCAAACTTCCCCCTTCTGCATGCCTCCTCAAAACCAGTTTGGCCATCTACACTGAGAGGAGTTCAGACTCAAGGAGGAAAGTTGCTATGGCAACCAAATGCTAAATCTTGACTTTAAGAGGGGTTTCGTGCAAGCACAAGCTCCGACTGTTAGCTGTGAATTTTAAAGACCCCACAAGGGTGTTGGATGCCCTCCTAAGCTAGAAGTGTTACAGTCTCTGCATCTGCTGTGACAGATGGCGGGGAACACATGACGTGCCGACTCTGCGGCGGTGTTCACAGGAATCCAATGGAGAGATGTGTCACGGCCACAGAGAAGTGCCCAACTGGGATGGTGTGTGCTCTGCAGGGGGCATGCAAAGGCAACCATGCTGCCTGACAGGAAGAGCCCACCAGGGGGCGATCTGGAGAGGGCCTGGAGATGACTACCCTTGACTCCTGCTTGGGACCCTGAGGTCAGAGCCTTGAGGGAGCTCGTATGGTGCCCAGGCCTCCTCTCATTTCCCATTCTACAGGTGAAGGGCCGAGGTGCACATCTCATCAAAGGATTAACGAAAGACCTTGAAGCTCAGGCTCCTCAGACATGACCAGGCTGGACTTGACAGAGCCCAAAGCCCCGAGTCACCTATCTTTCAGGTAGCTGTTGGCTTTTATTAAGTGGAATTGGGGGGTATGCTCCACCTAAAAAGGGAAATCTCTGTAAGCCATCTGGACTTGGATAATATCTAACTGCCTGGCCTCCTCCCCGTGGAGACATCAGGCAAGAGGCAGGTCCAGAGTCAAAGAGCCCCGTGTGACTCTGGGAGGGCAGACAGAGGGAAATATGCCAAAGTACATCCGGCAGGAAGGTGCTTTAATTGAGCCACAAAAGGGAATTTGGAAAGAGTGGGCAATCCACGTGGCAGAAACAAAATGGGAATGGTGCTACCCTGCCAAATTGGGCTCGAGAGAGAGGCAGTGGCTCAGAGCAAAGAAAGGGGAGGAGGGCTAGATTGAGTCTGGAAAACTGGCCCAAAGCCCCTCACCAGATTTTACATATTTCTCTGTAGTTAGGACTGGCTTTTAGAAAGATCTGGGGTAGAAGGAATTTCTGTGGATGGCAATCTTGGGTGGCAATTAAAATTTGATTTAACTTGGAAGCCTGTGCTCCTTGTAGACCCCCCCCCCATGTTCCCTGCTACATATCTTGCAAAGGGCAGTGAGGGTCTGTGGCTAGAACTGATGGTGGCTATGAAATCAAGCAGGTGCGTGAAGCCCCCACAGCTGCCCAACTGGCAGAACAAAGGCCGGGAATGGAGGGGTGAGAAAAGTTGCTGAAACCAGTTAGCCTGTGTTTCCATCAAAAAACAAGCAAGCGAGCAAACATACAACCATAACAACAACCTTTAGAAGGCGTAGGAAAAGTCAACCTCTGGCTGGATCCGGTCAGGGCAAGCCATTCACCCTTGGGGGTGTGCTGTTAGCCCACCTAGGCTGGAGACACACCCCTGGTCACAAAGTTGGGAGGATCTAGGGAAGAATGTCAGTGTGCAGTTGGCCAAGGGTTTCCAAGCACCGGGCTAACAGTTGGGGGCACATTATGCCCCTCCCAAATAGTGTGTTGCTAGAACGTAGAAGGAAGGCTGTAATGGAAAGCAGATCAGCAAGCTTCCTCCAGCTCTGGTTCTTCTGTAGCCTCCCGACACGTCTTTGGAAGGTCTATGAAGTCACCTCTCTACAAGGGGAGAGGGGTGTAGAGTAGCAGAAGGATGCTTGTTATTTCTCTGCCCTTTTCTTCCTTCTGTGTCTACAGGTGCCATGACAATGATCACAAACTTGTGGTTTAAACAACACTAATTTATTATCTTACAGTTCTGTAGGTCAGAAGTCTAACATAAGCCTCACTAGGCTAAACACAAGGTGTCTGTAGGGCTACATTCCTTTCCGGAGCCTCAAGGGGAGAATCTAGTTTCCTTGCCTTTTCCACCTTCTGGAAGCCACCCAAATTCCTTACCCCACGCCCCATTCCTCTGGCTTCAAAGCTGCCAGTTGCTGGTGGAGTCCTTCTCGTGTTGTGTCGTATGACTCTGGCCTCCTCTTCTGCCTCCCTCTTCCTCTTATAAGGACCTCAGGATTGCACTGGGCCCCACCTGGTTGATCTAGGATACTTGCCTTATTTTATTTTATTTTATTTTATTATTTTTTAAGATTTATTTATTTGAGAGAGTGTGTGCTAGAGTGAGCAGAATGAAGGGCAGAGGGAGAGAAAGAGGATCTCAGACTCCCTGCTGAGGAGGGAGGGAGCTATGTGGGGCTCGATCTGATCTCATCACTCTGAGATCATGACTTGAGCCACAATCAAGAGCAGATGCTTAACTGAGCCACCCAGGAGGCCCTACTCTTCTCATTTTAAAGCCAGTTGTTTAGCAACCTTAATTCATCTTTGCCATGTAACATAACTCATTCACAGGTTCTGGGGATGAGGAGGGGAATGTCTTTAGAGGCCCAATATTCTGTCCACCACAGCTGCTACTCTGGACGACTGCAGGTGATGAGTAAACACAGGCTTAACTTTGGAACACTCTGGAAGGTTGCCTGAGGAGAGCTCTAGGCCCCAGAGGATGCCCCTTTGCAGTGACTGAGCATGTGTGTTTGTGTGTTTGTGCGCGCGTGTGTGAAAGAGTACACACGTGCACTTGCACAGTTCCACATCTCCATATGGGCAGACCCCTCAGCATGGCTGGGAAAGCACATGTCCCAACACTATGACATTTCCAAGTGAGTTAGCTGGAGGATTGCAAAAATAACGTCGACTTGACTTGCAGCCAATTCCCACACTCAGCTCTTTGGAGAAAGGCTCTAGGATGGAGTGTGGGAGGCGATAAAGTTTCTAACTGATGAGTGTGTGGGTTGACCACATCATCCCATGTGCGGGAAGAAGCAGGGCGGGAAGGGGGAGGGCTTCCATTTCCAGCATTAATGAAAATAAAAGTCTCCACAGCAGCAGGTCTCAGCTGCTCCTCCAAATGAAGATGTTGCACCTTCGCTGTCTGGTGTGGGATTTGGATTCCTCTCTGTGGTCTCCCTCCTGGTTTTCCAGTGGGATATTCATTGTCAAAGATACTGGGAGCCACTGGCAGAGGGGGGCTTCCCAAAGTCATTTGCGGCAAGAATTAGAAATGATATGTCCAGGAAGACAGAAGAGGCAGGTGATGTGGATAAGCAGGTCACTGTGGATAAGCAGCCGCCCCGTCTCCTGGCTTGGGGAGCTTGCTCAGTATTAATGGCTGCTCACATAGTTTCCAACGACAAATCCGTTGGACCTGACGTGGCTTAGGAAATCAAAAAACCCTTGATAATCCCACATCTTCTCTGACTTCATGATGGATGGAACTCAGACTATGCCTTAGGAAGACATGGGGCTTTGGGAGCATTATGTACCTTCTTGGGGAATTCACACGTTGATCTCAAGCAAGGAGGTCATTTCTCTCGAAGACCCCTCCATGCTCAAAACACCAATCCCTTCTCCCCACATGCATTTGGAAGTGCCTCCTGTTCTTGAAAACCTCAGTAGAACCATCCAACCATCTGGAGATCAGGCTTCTTTCAGAAGTGAGTTTAAGCACTGAGCTTGTCCCAGCATCTCCCAATCCAGGTCAGCAGGAGGTACTGGAGGGGGGACCAGAGAACAGCTTTGCTACATGGAGAGGCCCCTCCTTGGAGATGAGCCCTTTTTCCTTTCTCCTGAGCACACTGGCTTTTGGGCATGGTGCACAGCCCATCTGTTTGATTTGGTGTTTGCCTGACAGCGTGGGAAGAGCAGTAAGTAAGCACAGTCTTAGACATCAGATGCTTAAAATGCTATACTTTCTCTTCCATATGGGGCCCTGGAATCCCTACGATGGGCCCAGGTGAAAACAACTCTTAGACCTAAGAAGGTGAACTTTTGATGTTGCAGCCACCTGTTACTCTCCCAAAGACATAGAGTAATGCATTATAACAGAAGTAAGGCTCTATCTCTTGGAATCAGTCTCTACCAATATCCCTCCACCCCAGCATCTGACGAAAATGCCTCTGTAAGAGTGTGTATACCTGTGTAGTATGTATATGTGTGCACATGCATGTGTGTATATCTATATGTATATATGCATATGTGTGTACATGTGCAGGTACGCATATGTATGTATGCATGCACCTATGCATGTGTGTGCATTGTGTGTGTGCATGTGTGTACATTTGTGCAGGGACACAAGTGTGTGTGTATGTGTGTGTGTGGTGAAGGAGAAGGGGCTGTACATGAGGTACAGAGAGTTGGAAGAGTTGGTCCCCAACTCCCGACATTTCCCTTGGGGGTCTTAGCTATCATTACACCCCTTCCTTCATTCTAAGGCATCACATTCCTTCTCTGGGAAGGACCTACCTGTGATACTGAATCTACTGGAATCAGGTCTTCATGAAGACTATTGCAGATGAACTCCTTCTACAAGGAGAGTGGACAGCAACCTGGAAGGAGCGGCCCACACTCTTCAGTATCTAGGAGATCACCACACTCTGGAGTGCCCCCCATGCCTGCCGTGTCTCCGTGTGGACCCTCTCAGGGAAGTCTCAGCCACGTCTGATAACATGATGGCCTAATAACATCTCTCTCCTTTGCCCCAGTAATCTCTCTCCTGGGATTTATCTGAAGAAAATAACTTCAGATGTGCCCTGCATTTATGTGGAAAGATATTCATTTTGGTAGAATTTGTAAAAATTAAAAATTTAAAGCATCCTAAATGTCAAATAATAGGGAACTATTTAAATGAGCTATGATATGGAGTACAATGGAATACCAAATAGCCATTAAAAATATGTTATTGAGGATTGTTTAATGGTTCTGAGAAAATTTCATGATAGGATGTGAAGTGAAAAAAATCAAGAAACACTACTGGACTTGGTGTGTGTGTAAGTCTCTAAAAATCATGCACAGATAAAAGATCGGAAGGGAGGACATTATGATTTTAAAATAATTTCTCCAGGAGATAGAATTATAGATGATTATCATTTTCTTCTATAAGGTTTCCTAAATTTTCTATAATAAATATGCATAAAAGTCAGTAGCTGACATCCGCTGGTGTGATGGCAAATGGATTGTGGAGGTCATCCTGAACTAGTGTTCCTGGGGAACAGAGAAGGGACTATAGATAGGAAACGTCCAAGGCTTCTGCCCGAAGATGACAGATTTTAAGCCAACATCAGCTTGCGTGGTCTAGGCTCCCAAAGGCAATGGAAAAATCAGGAGAGATGGTATGGGTTTCCAGGGGGGGGTGATTGCAAGAGGCATGAACTCTGACAGTTACCCGCTGCCCGGTGCTCCTGCCTACCAGTTTCGGGGTCGCATTGGTGTTCACAGGGGTCCAGGAGCCGTCGGGCACAGAGGTCCATGGCCCAGGGCCCACTGGAGTTCTGCTGAGAGAAGAGCACCACTTGAGCTGGGTTCAGCCAGTCACTGGCATCCAGCTGGCTCCCCTCCAGCAGGATGAAGCGGCTCCCTGCAGGAAAGAGAGAGGAGGCATGCCTGTGCGTGCACACACACACACACACACACACACACACACACCAACTCAAGACAGAGTAAGGGATGCTTCACAGATTAGCCCAAGCCGAGGTCATTACTCTCACCAGCCCTGGCTTGTCATGATCCCCCGAGCAAGGGATCAGCAGATGGAGGCTCGGCTACCACTTGGACCTCCTGCTGTCCTTGCTCCAGCCCATCTCTATCAGGGTGCACCTAGGGAATACTGGGATAGAGCAGATCTGTGATGGCCACGGCATGGCTCCATCAGACCCAGCCACAGGCACTGGCATTCACCCAAGGAGCAGGGACCTGCTGCCTGGTCCCCATTTGCCATGAAATAGCAGGCCTTCTAATAGCACAGACGGTCCTCACCTATTTTCAGCCTTCTAGCAGCAGAGAGAAGAGACATTAACAAGTCAGTTAGGTGCTCTGGGCTTAACAAATTCAGGGTCTCCAGAACCTGTACTATCCCCTCATTATATTGGGGTCCCCCTGGATGAAAGGAAATTATTGCTTCAGAGTTCTAGGCTTTTAGCAAGTTACTGCAATTAGGAATTTCTCACCCGAGCATCCCAAACCAAAGCATGGCTTATTCTTAATCACCTCCACTGCTCCACTTAGCTTCTCCCTTTCCCAAAAGCCAGAAATCTCAGTGTCCATCTACTTGCATCCAGCATGCTCTGTATTTTTCTACAAAGACAAGGGCTTATTTTAAAGCAAACAGAAATGAGAAATTGGAGTGGGCATAGAGAAGAGGAGGTAATCTGTTCAATCTTGTGGTTTTTTTTTTTTTTTAACCTCCTTTCTGGTTTCATCTATGGACAATCCAAATTTGTCCTAAGTCTTACTTATCTGGGTTTATTTTTTTCCCCCACAGGAATAAGTAAAAAATAACAGTGACCCCTGGCTTCTCTATCTTCCTGGCCCAACACAAAAACTTCCCCTTTGGTGAGGAAGTGAGCTCACCATCAGCGATCAGGTGCTCAGGGACGTGCAGGGTGATTTTGACAACGAGAGGGCAGCTGACGTGGGAGGAGCACACGAGGCCAATCACACAGCTGGTGATGCTGATCAGCGTCAAAGTGGTCTTATTCACAGGACTTCGGGGAGAGCCCACTGGAAGCAAGATACAAGCAAGACACATGGCGGTAAGAATCGTGGCAGTGGGAGGCCAGTCTGGCCTTCTGCTGCCCAACCCAGCAAACAGGGGAGGCAGTGGGCAAACATAGCCCAGGAGAGGAATGTTCCGGCTCATGACCCCAGTGAGCTTCATCCTCATGGAACACCATGTTGGCAGCTAGAGTCAGAGGCGCTTAGCCTACTGGTGGCCCTCTGGGTCAACAGTCAGTTGTGTGCAAGTTCTCTACACTCTTCCTGGGACAGGTTCAAAAAGAAATCATGAAGGAGGGCTTTCTGCTCCTCTACTGCCTGGCTGAACTCCAGGGACGCTTCCACCACATGCTAGAACTGTCTGCACTTTCCACTGTTTCTCACAGAGGTCACTCTCACAAACCAGTTCCTTTACTCCCTGGGCTCAAACTACTTCTCCAATCTCTTGAGGGGCTTCTCAAGCTCTATGGGTGGGAGTACTACAGCTGACTCTTCTCCTCTAGGGCCCACAAGGAGGAAAGTTTCCTCTGTATGTGTAGAGGATGTTGTCATGCCTGAAGAGCCCCCTGAGTCCTGCACTGGTCATTGGGGTGAAATTATACATGGCAGCTTAGTGAGCAAATAATGATGCTGAGAAGACGCTTCCAGGCAGTGCGGACAGGAGTAGGAAGGAAGATTTTCTTGGTGTGCCTCTGTTTGGTTTTGTTTTTTGTGGAGCAGATACAATGGTAGCAACAAGAGGGACCTTTCACATGGAGGCAGAACAGATGTGGGAAAGTAAGAAAGAAGGCAGGTTGCCAACAAAATATGTCCTTTGTCATTTTCTGAGGGTCTGGCCTCTGTTGGCATTTATTACTGATAGAAATAAGAGGCATCTGTTATGTCAGACAGTGGACAGTGCTTTGCGTACATTATTTTATTTCTGTTTTCTTAGAATAAATCTAGGAGTCTGGACAGTAACCGCCCACTTGACAGGTAAGGAAAATAAGTCTCAAAGAGATTAACCCTACAGTGATAGTTAAGACTTATGAAGTGTAATTATGTGTCAGGAGCCAGTGTGCAGGGGTATCTGGCTCATATCATTCAAAGATGACCACAGTCTGATGAGGCGGCTCCCACATAGGGACAATCAGAGAAGCTACAGGGCACATCCAGGATCGAGCAGCTACCAAGGAGCTAGGATCAAGGCAGAGGTCCAGCTGAGGTGGCAGGCCCCAGACAGGCCACCACTCAATCTTTGGACCCAGGGGAGCCTTTGGAACCACTGTTCTCAGGATCGCAGGGAACGTCTGGGTCCATGGGGGCATCCACCCTTTATGGGAGCAGGTTCCCTGAGTGGGCATGCTGGCAGGAGCTGGGATGAGAGATCACAGGGTGGCAGGCAGCCGCTGGATCCTCTGTTCCTTGCTACCTAGAGATATTCTATTCATGTTAGTAGCCTTTCAACATGGGGTCTATTTCCCCGACCCTTACAAATCTCTACCCCTGGCTCAAACCAGGCCTCAGCAGCAGATCTACCACAGGCACTCAAACGAGAAACTGGATTCACCCTTGTCTTCCCATTTCCATCATCTTGTGTCTAAAGTTTCTCTTGCCTCCATTCTCTCTATCCTGTCCCACTATCTGGTATCGCACACCTCGACTGCAGCACTAGTCATGGGCCTGGTCTCCCTGCCTCAGCCTTCCCCACCATTGCCTACCCTCCATGAGAAGCCCAGAGGCCCCCTTCATGAAGCCGAGCAGACCAGGGCGATGCTCTTGAAAAACCTCCAGTGAAGCCAACTGAAGCGTTAGGTCTGAGTCCTCCAGTCAAGGTTTGTGCTGTCTCCCAATCATCCAGCCTTATTTCCTAAGCACACCTCAAACCTGGACCGTACGCTTCATTCTAGTAAACTCTTTACCACTCTCCGACTAGACCATTATCGTTTATGTCTCTGTGACTTTGCACATATCATTTCCTCCTCCGCAGAATGCCATTTTGTCACCTTGTCAGCCTGGTATACACCTACTCTTCAAGTCTCGGCTCCAACAACATCTCCTTGTAAACACTTCCCTGAAACCTTTAAGAGCAGATTCTCACTCATTCCTCACTGTTCCCCTCACCCGGGTGCACCCTGCTGTTAAAGCTTTTATCACACAGCATTGTCACTGTTTACAGGCACTTGCAGCTGCACTCATGTGATTGCAGTAACCTGCTACTCATCTTCTTGACTCCCTGGTCCTTCTATATCATCAACCCATCACCTAACATCTTTATCTGGTTTCAAAATTTCCAGTGGTTCCCCATAACCTATAGAGCCAAGTGCAAACTCACGGCACAGGTGTAATCTTTTGGTGGCTGGCCTGTTATCCAGCCGCATCCCTTCTACCCCGAGTGCTTACTTATGTTCTTACACCTGCCATACTGAACTATTTTTACTTGCTTAAAAATACCATGTTCCTTCAAGGCTTTATATATGCTATTCTCCTTACTAGGATGCCCTTACCCTAGATTCTCCTTTTACAAGAAATTCTATACATTGTATAAAACCTGGGTCTAATTATTTTCTCCTTCTTTGCCTCCTATTGCCGCCAGGTAGAATGACCTGTTCTGTCTTCTTAGTATTCATTTTACTTTATTTACAATATTAAATTAAGCCTTATCATTGTGCCATGTTTTCATGTTTCTACTTCCAATCACAAAGCCTGACCTATGGCAGGTGAGTTATAAAATTTCTTGCTGTCCTGATTGATGTATTCAGTTCAATTCAACAAACACTTATAAGCTTCTATTATAGGCAAAATCCTTCACTAGGCACTTTGGAAAAATAAATTAGACATGCCCATCCCTAAGAAGCTTTCAGTCTAGTTAATAGCAATAAACAGTTGATGTACTAGGAGAGCTTGGTACTTTAAAGGAACAGTTTTATGCTGCAAAGAAACTCATTCTAATTCATTACTATGGATTTTCTTAAACAGGATTTTATTAAAGTAGAACACACCCTGCTCTGGGTTGGATGGGCCAAGGTCGACTATCTGCTGTATATAAATATGTAAAGAGGATCAAGGGATCCACATTCTCACCTCAGGGATTCTGGGGCATCAGGTGTTAGGTGGCCCAGAGCCCCACTGATCTCCTGGGAAAAATGGTGGGAAGGATGTTTGTTCAGACAGTAGCAAAGCTTATGGAAACTGGAACTGAGGAATTAAAAGCCCTGCTTCCATTCTCTGGGAAGAAAGCCCTCAGTGTGGAAGGGACTCAAGTGGAGGTAGGAGAGAGCCAAAATATAAATGTCTTTTTTGGGGCCGCATTGGTTGTTTACTGATTGAGGGAAATGTCATTGCATATAACACAAGGAGCTGCCACTCAAACATCCTCTGCTCAATCTCAAAGGGTTCCTGCCCAACGCGGAGTGCTGTACAAGGCTGAGGTCTGCACTGTGGAGAGGTCTTGGGGCAATGGCAATGCGGACTGCACAGTGCTCTGCCAGTCACCAAAAAAGCACATTTTAATATAATTTAATCCTGACAGTAGCCCTGGGTGTGAGGTATTGTTAACACGCTCCATTTATGAAGACACAGGCTCAGAGATGCTGTTGTTCTCATCACACAGCATGTCCAGGGAAGCCTATGGAACGCAGACCTCCCTCAGTGACAACAATGCTATCAGCAAGGTCACAGGCAGTGGCATCACATCTGCAACAGCCATAACCCAAGTGGCACAGATTTGTGTCTGCATAGCAGGACAACCTGATCTGGGCTGAGGAGAGTGGACGAACTAACTGGGACCCCACCAGGAGAAAGGAGAGGACTCGGGGGCTTGGGGTCCTGTCATTCTACCAGGCAGGGATTAAAGGTCAAATACCATTACACGCATAACTCAGGCCCTAGATCATTCTTCAACGACCCCACCCCCTGAATCGCTGCCTCGCCCAATCCCAAGGCTGGCGTGGCTGGGGGTAAGCAAGGGTCCATACACTGTCCACATTTTCACGTACAACACACTACATCAACTTTAGTTCCTGTGTCTAAACAACAAAATAGGACTCCTGAGGCTTCCAGAAGGAATTGAGAGTCTTCTGACCAAGAAATAGCCTTTCAAACAACTCGAAAACTTGTTTGAGAGTGCCATTATCTGGGAGAGATGATTCTCAGAAATTCACTCTAGGCTCTTCTTTCTTCCTTAGGAGGAAACGCCAGCTGTGGTCCTGCAGAAACTGGCTCTGATCCACACAAACCCCAGCCAGACCCTGCACCTCTGTAGCCCCCTGTCTCCCGGCCAGAGCCCTGCCACCCCCCTTGCCCCTCCGGCCTTCCCACCTCGGCTGCGCCTCCGGCTCCGCGAGGGGTCGGTGTAGAAGGTCAGCTGGGGGTCATTCTCTGTCTCTGTGCCAGAATCGCCTTCAGGGTTCAGGAAGGCGGAACCAGCTGTAATGAAAAGAACCACAGCAAAGGCAACGTCTTCAGTGTTTTTCTCCATGACACCAACTCACTGGGCAAGTTCGAGAGAAAAATCAATAAAAACAAGAGCGGGTTGACTGACAATTTGGGAGGAGTAGCCATGGACACTGGAGCTTCCTGATACAAAGATTTATTGGAGAAGTGGACCTTTCCATGCCAGCAGTCATGGGCCCCACCTCCACCCAGCCCTGGCTCCCCCCGGGTTGGACCCTTCCTTGCAGCACTGCCAGAGAGGACCTTCATGGATGGTGGGTGGGAAAGGAAGGAAGGAAGGGAAGTTAGGATCTTTTATTTTTCGTTTTCTCTGGTCCTAGAATTCATACACATTCAATGTGAAAAAGAGGGAAAAATAATAAAGAAAATGCATAGAAACGCATGAAGGGGACAACCCTGAGGTCCTCTAAATCCTGTCGATCAGAGAAAACCTCTGTTAACACCTGATGTATATGCTGTCTTTTTCTGATACAGAAAACAGATAAAGGCTTTTTAATCTCCCCTTAAAAATGGCATTTTGCTGTACCTTCAATTTTATAGCTTCATTTTTTTCCCCATTTAATAAATGGGCAGGCAACTTTCCATATGAACAAATATGGATCTGTCTTATCATCCTAAATGGCTGCGCAGTAGGCCGCTGGACGGTAGACAGATGTGCAGGTAGTTAACCGATTCCCTATTGATGGACACTTAAGCTATTTCCAATTTTTCGCTCTTTTAAACAATGTTGTGATGAACAGCCTTTTATACACATCTTTGCACACTTGTCCAATTATTTCCTAAGGATAAATTCTTGTTTATGAAATCAGTTGGTCAGAAGGGTTGTGTAGGGGTTGTGTAGTCCAGTTTTTTGGTGAAGTAACACCCAGCAGGCCTCCAGGAAGACTGTGCCAAAACACACACCCTCTGGCCATGCCTGAGAGTCCGGGGGTCCAGGATATTAATGGTCCTGCCTCTCCCGGTATTAAGGAATCTGCCACCTGCAAGCCCTTGCCTCAGACACAGATACCTCTTGCCTTGTTGTTGATCCGCTTCCTCTGGCTGCTGGAGGTGTGCGAGAGCAGAGTGGCCTGCTGGTGGTTAGAGTCCACGGGGCTGGTGGCAATGATGTTATCCTTGTACTTGTTCATCAATGACAGCTTGGCATTGTCACTTCCTGGAGAAGGAAGAGTCAAGACAAAGATCTTTCGGAGAAAAGGCCAAAAAGAGAGAGCAAGGCACGCTGCATGAACCAAGGAAATGGGAGTTTCACAGAATTGAAAGAAAGAACGTTTAAAGTGAGAGACTGGCAGAGATTGAATGCTCCCTCTCTTGATTTCTGCAGGTCTACAGAATGGAAGGTGGAGAGAAGAGGAGAGATGACAACTGAAAATCCAAAGCCAACGGATTCTGTATTGATTAGGGTCACCACATGTGGCCCCCCAGGCTAGACACAGACAACAGATTCCCTTCTCTGGGGGTGGCACAGAGTTTTAAACGCATCTGAGTTTGAGTGCACCCAGGTGGAACGTGCCCTCTCTATCTTCTGTCCCAGGCTGCACCATCCCCTGCTGTCTGACACCCAGCTACTGCACTTATTTGCACTACCCACCATCCCCTGAACACACAGAGTTTGTAACCCCTGAGTATGGCTCCGTGGTGGGCTTTGCACCATGCCAGGTGCTATGGGGACCATGAGGCATTCATGACACGTCTCCTATCCTCAAGGAGTTCCCAGACTTTAAATCTTGTTAAGAAGTGGCTATTCATTTAGGATCTCTTCTAGATACCAAGCAGAATGGACACTTCTTTTTTATAAGATGTATTTATTTACTTGAGGGGGAGAGGCAGAAGGAGAGAACTGTCAAGCAGACTCCCTGCTGAGCGTGGCCAGATGTAGGACTTGATCTAGTAATCAAGATCTGAGTCAAAACCCAAGAGTCAGGGGATCCCTGGGTGGCGCAGCGGTTTGGCGCCTGCCTTTGGCCCAGGGCGCGATCCTGGAGACCCGGGATCGAATCCCACGTCAGGCTCCCGGTGCATGGAGCCTGCTTCTCCCTCTGCCTGTGTCTCTGCCTCTCTCTCTCTGTATGACTATTGTAAATAAAAAAAAAAAAAATTAAAAAAAAAAAAAAACCCAAGAGTCAGATGCTCAAGCGACTAAGCCACCCAGGTGCCCCAGAATGGAGACTTCCATGATGTGATTTCCCTCTTTTCAAGCCCCACTGGGAGTCTATATGCAATATCCAGTATGAAAAATGCCTTCTTTAAAGATAAGTGAGCAGGTTTTTGAGGAATCACTGTCTTGGGGTTTTATCTATGAGGAGTTGCTGATTCATGGAAGTTTCAGAGACAGACGGGGGTGGGGGGCACGGTAAAAGGAAAGTGTAGTCGTTTCCTCTCCACATTTTGTTCACCCTGATTTGGTTCACCCTGATTAGGTCCAAGTCTTTTCCACCTAGCATCTTGTAGAAATACAAGGCATCAGGTCAGACAGCATGATTGTATTCCTAATATTTTTTTAAGAAGTACGATCTGTATAAAGACCATAGAGGCAAGGGCAAGACAACACAACTAACTACTCCCACCCCAGACTGAAGTCTCCAGAGTCATAGAATAGAACAGATATCTTTGTCTCTTCCACTTCAATGGATAATTAAATCTCCTAAGCAAACATGCTACATGCAAAAATGTGATACATACATGTTGATCTCTTGACAGCTTATTTCCCTGGGAGTCCCCATATCTCGATCAGATATGAAAAAGGCTCTATCAAACCCATTGTGTTTATGGGGTCTTATGACTCATCTAGGCATTTTCAGTGCCTTGCTTTTATTTATTAAGCTACATGAACATGTAGAATTTAGGTCCCACTCTTCTGTGGGATCTCTGTTTCCAATGCAAAGTGGAAGTGGAGAGAGATTCAATATATACTTGTTCTTCTGACTTTCCCTATTAGAAGACAGCTCCCATTGTCTCAGGGAAAAGTCTACCCTCTTGCCCACCTGGGAAAGGGCACAGGCACATGCCATTATGCATGATAACCAGCCCCAAGATTAGCCAGTCTCTACTCCCTCCCTAGTTCCCCAAGAGCAGGACTGACTTGCCCACCTGGGGTGAGGTCCATCCCTGCCTTCTCGTTGCAGCCCTGCAGGGAGTCCAGGGTGCGGGTGACCTGGCTGGCAAAGTCCTCCCCTCCATTCATGCACTCCCTCTGCAGGTGGTGGCGCAGGTCCGTGATGTCGTACTCATAGCCGTCCAGGATGGGGGTCTCCCGGATGCTCAGGGTGCCACTGGAGTTGTGGCCTTGCACGCGGGCATTGCGCAAACTCTCCCGTCCATGCCCGCCGATCAGCACAGAGGGAATGTAGTGAATCTCATTGGCTGCCTCAGCACTGGCACTCTTCTGGGGCTGGGGGACCCGGCGGCGCTTGCACCAGCGCCGGCGAGTGTACAGGATCATGACCAGGCACAAGATGGACAGCAGGAGAGCAATCATGCCACCCTGGAAGAGAGGACAACAGACAGATGCAGGAAGATGGGTGAGCTCATCCCACAAAGAGGCATCGCCCCTCCCCCCTATTATCCATCACTCACTCACTCACTCATTCATTCATTCAGGTGCAGTAAGCACTGAGATCAAGCATCACTCAGCAGCAAAGGGACAGTCTGCGGTGATGGGTGTTTAAGGAAAATGGAGAAAAATGGAACTGGGATGACCAGTGCATCATTTAAGTGATCCACAGTTGCTTTTGGCTTAGCAAACAATTTGAAAGGCAAGTCTGTGTGTATGTGTGTGTGTGTGATTTCAGTTGTAGAAACAGGGGAGAGGGTTAGTTTGTTAAGGCCAATCTGTTACACATAAAGCTGGTTCCCAGCCAAGTTTTAGCAGCAGAATGGCATTTAGTTTCTTCCTGTCTCACATCTTAAAATCAGCCACGTATAGATTCTAACTCTGGCTACATCAATGATCAGCAAGTCCTCCAAATTTGAAACCTCAGATTCCTAATCTGTATAATGCAGAACATGCCGCTTAGCCTGGAAAAGTGGTGGTAAAGGCTAAGTTAGGGAACCATGCACAGTGGCTAATGGAGTGTGTCACATGGAATCAGGAATGTCCTCGGCCTGACCTTAAATGTCTCCATCATGGTAGGAGAAGACCCTCAATCAATCCAGAGAGAAGTTTATGTCCATTAGGGATTTACAGGCAAGTGTATGGAGGACCCTAACCATTTGAACATGACTTTCTGGATCACTGTGGCTTTCAGGGACAGCTTATTCCCACTCACAGTCCTGAGTGATCTCCCGTTCTTGCTTGAGGGAGAGATTGAGACCCATGTCCTGGAGTCAGACTGGCAAAGGAATTTCCTTCTGAACCTTCTCATGCTCCCAGGCCATTCCCTAAATGTCAGAACTCCACTCAGTTGTCTAGCAGAGGCAGGATGTCATGCTCAGTGACATTGAGTACCTCACCTTGACAACCATGGCAGCAGGGTTTAGAGGGAAGGCCTGGCACGCCCGTAGCTCCACAGCCGCCCAGCGAGCATAAATCTTCCAGGGCGCGATCTGTATTCATTCTCCGTATTTTGGTCAATACCCCCCAAACCTATTTCATTAGGTGGGGGGTCTGTCAAGTGGTTCTGCTCTCAACTTGAGCTTCACTGCCACCCCATCATATAGGCTAGAGATGAAAACCCCCTCTTAATTCCCAGGGGACCCACCCACACAAGGCTTGGTCAAGATTATTCCTTCCAGCACATGAACAGGGGCTTTTTTCCAGTCTTGTGATAATTATATCTTGAATTTATATAAAGCTGCTCTCCCGATAATCCTTCCCATTTACCTTCCCTTCCCCACCATCACTGTGAGCAAAGCAGCATGAGCACACACACATACAATGTTGCTGCTTTCAACAGGCACAGAGCAGCGGAGACAAGAAGCAACAGTCAGTTGCCAAATGACAGGTCATGTCAGGTGGCATTTTTGGGGCCTCCATTGGCCTCCAGGTTTTTCAGATTTTTCTTTTATTTGTGGAACCCTTTCTCCTGGTGAAGTCTCTCATGCAAATATACAGAAAGCGTAAATGTGAAGCCTCGGTTGCAGCATGGATGGGCGTGCAGGGGCAAGTATTCCAGGTTCTGGCTGGCTGCAACCCTCCAGGCAGCCCATTGTCCCTCCACGCAGCCCTGCAGATGCGCCTCGCCTCCCCCCCAACCCCCAACCTCCAGTGTTGCAGCTGAGCCTAGCCCAGCCGGGCACCAGTTTGCTCAGAGCCCATGCAGGAGTCCAACCCAGTAGTTTTTCGGCAGGCCCTTTATCTCAGAGTCAGACTCGCCATCCTTTCCTTCACCCCAAATTGAAACTGCAACAATAGGCAATTAAGCCACACAGAAAGAATAACTTCCCGAGTGAGAGAAGTTGTCAGACATTGAATTAGGCTAGTGAAAGCGAGAGGTAATTTTATTCCCTAAAGAGCTATAAGAGCAGTATAAACATCAATCTCTGAGGAACAGCTGAAACACCAACTTTCAGCTCACACAGAGGTATTCAGGGGCCCCTCCAGGCTTCCCCTCAATTTCTGCTTTCAGATGATCACAACAGGGTTATGACAGGATGCAGGCTGAAGGCTCATTCCCTGTATGAAGCAGCAGTAAAGCAAGAACAGCTGTCCAGTATGGGGCTGTTACTATGTATCAGACACGTGTTCTCACTGCCCCTCACTTCTAACTCCGCCAGGTAGGGTCAACTCTTTCCTCATGTTATATTTGAAAAGGCTAAGGCACAGAGGTTAAGTAACTTGTTGGAGGACACACAGCATAGCAACAGTAGTTCCACAGTGGGAACATAATGCCCCCATGGCAGGGGCATTCCTAAGCCTGGTGGTTAGGCTCACCTAACCCACCTGGTGCTGGCTCACCCATGAGAGCGCTGTATCTCATAAATCTCCAGTGGGTACCATGCGGGGTGTGTGTGTGTGTGTGTGTGTGTGTGTGTGTGTGGATGAGCCCACTTAGGTCTATCCCCACTTCTCAAAGGAAAAACAGAAACTGTTTAAAGTGCACATCTAGCTGATGGTGAGTCAAAAGAGGCACCATCATAAACAAAGGACCTTTCACTGAGCACCCACTAAGTGTCCGAAGCCAAGATTAATTGGTAGTGGAAAGACAACACTCATGTTTCAAGGTCTCTGTGCTAAAATAAGACAACGCGCATCACACATCATTACATGCCTGGAGGATACCATTAGATCTCAATTTAGTTAAATTTCCACTAAGAAATTTGTTTTCTCTTTCAACTGTGAGACCCATTGAAAATCTCTAGGTTCGGCCCCCCACATCTCCTGATGAAGAAATTAAGACCAAGAGAAACTACAAAAGTAGATAGTGCCAAAGTGGTTCTAGACATGATCCTCTTCATGGCACTACTCTGTTAGGTTCATCTAAAATTCCCTTTACCATTGTCTGGCCCTACACACTCCATTAGGAATATTTTATATATATATATATATATATATATATATATATATATATACACATATATATACACACACACATATATTGTATATATGTACATATACACACAATATTGTATATATTGCATATGTGTACCTATATACATACATGTACATATATATTTAATATATATATTAAAATAACTTATGGGAGCTAAAACACAAGTTTTCAATTGGTTAAACCATTGTATATATGTACACATATACACACAATATTGTATATATGTACATATATACAAATATGTACATATATTTATTTTTCTTTAAAGATTTTATTTATTTATTCATGAGAGACACAGAGGGGAGAGAGAGAGAGAGAGAGAGAGAGAGAGAGAGAGAAAGAGGCAGAGACATAGGCAGAAGCAGGCTCCATGCAGGAAACCTGATGTGGGACTTGATCCTGGGACTCTGGGATCACGCCCTGAGCCAAAGGCAGAAGCTCAACCGCTGAGCCCCCCAGGTGTCCCCATATATATTTAATATACATATTAAAATAACAACTTATGGGGATCTAGAACACAAGTTTTCGATTGGCTAAACCAGTGTATTTAGTATATCTAACCTCACTTTATCAAAGTGTTTCCCCTGCTTAGAGTCAGTGACTCCCAATGACCTTAGGTTTCTCTTAATCAGTTACTAGGAATGAGTGCCAGCCACTAGGCGAAGCTCAGCATAGGCATAGGAAAAAGGATGATTCTCGGGTACTCAAATTGGGATGTGCTTCTATAATCCAAACTGGTGGCAGATGTCACAACGCTTGGTGATGATTTACTAATTGTGGACTATTACATAAGTAATCACATAATGATGTTACATGATATTAACATGTAATATAATTTAATGATAACATTTTGTAATAATAATAATATAATAATAATTTGTAAGATCACTCCACACAAATTCCTCTGAACTGCTTATCTGCTCTGTCCAGCAAGAAGGTCCCAGACAGGAAGGACTAGGGAGAGACGCTCCACTATACGAGGAGAAGGCATGGATGTCTTGCCTTGACAACTTTCCTTCTACAACGACGACTTGGAAATCGAGTGCTCACATTCTATTGCTTTTGCATTCCTGTGATAAACCACAGTTGTGATATTAGCATTATTTTTAACCACTCTACTTCCACAGAGAATCTTGCACAGCTTCAAGTTAAGTCAGAGAGGCTCTACGATTTTTCTTTCAAATAATCTAATGGAACAAAGAGGTGGCAGATGAAATGGAAAGAGCACTTGAACCAGGAGCTAGGAGCTTCCTGATAACCAAGTCATAAAGGGAAAGGCAAGCCGCACACATCTTCTTGTCTGACAGAATAAAGTTTAATGGGAGGAACTAACTTCCTCCATGCATACAACTCCAGACAGACTTCCAGCCGGAGCGTGTGCATGAGCACACGGACAAGCATAACGGCAACGTCCGCACACAAGGCTTTACAGAAAGCACGCAGAAGTTCACACTTGCACTCCTGGCTTTGCAATTCTGTATTACCTGAGCGGTACTCAGAGGGTGTTCTTCATTTATGGGTGTTAGCTTCAATTTTTATGGCATTCAAAACAAAACAAAACAAAACAAAATCATTAAGGTACATCTGGACCCAAATGACAAGTAACAAATTGCAAACTCTGAATATTCCAAAAAAAAAAAAAACAAAAAACAATTACTGCAAGGTATGCAATTGTTTTGTTCTATATTCATCTTTTCCTGAGTTTTCTGATTATTCTATTGATTTTCCTCAAAACTTAACATTTTACAACTAGAAGCACGTTTAGGGTATACGAGAACTCCACATCCATTAACAAGTTGCATGCAAAAATAAGTGGCATTTAAGCATATATTTTTCTTTAAAAAATCAATAAATCATTTCTACTGGCTCTAACAGAGATCAAACAAATGAAATCAGCTTTTATTTTATTACAAAATTGACATTTTCAGCACTTACCTGAGAGGAGAGTATGAAGTTTGTCAGATCATGTGCAGATTTTGAAATCTGTGTATAA